GCTCCGAACGCCTGTTTTTAGGGCCTCCACGCATCCCATTTTCAGCCTCCATGCACCCCATATTTGGCCTCCGCGTGTCCCATTTTTGGCCCATTCTAGGTGGCAGGGATCGCCGCTGCGATAGGTGGCAGCGGCAATCCCCGCTGCCTGGAACGGGCCAAAAACGGGACTTGCAGAGGCCAAAAATGGGGTGCAGAGGCTGAAAATGGGGCATGCGGAAGCCAAAAATGGGGCGCGTGGAAGTGGTGATAGGCAGCAATAGCAATGGGCAGCGGTGGCGGTGATGGGTGGCGGTGATCCCCGCAGCCTGGGATAGCTGATCGGCGGTGTTCTGGGAGGCCGATCCAACTGCCAATCAGCTGCTCATGCTAAATCAAGCTGTGCTGAAGCTGACCAGGCTGATTGCTGTTTGCTGCAAGGAGGCAAATTGCTGGGAGGCAGAGGCCGAAGGGTGGAGGCTGGTGGGTGGGCGGGGCTAAGGCAACATTAGCTCTATAAGATGCACAGACATTTCTACCCACTTTTTTGGTGGGGGGAGTGCATCTTAAACACCAAAAAATATGTCACAAATGATAAAACAACAATAGTCACCTAGAGTCACTTTTTGTGAGATGGCCAGATATAAATTTGATTAATAAATAATAAATGTATTTATTGAAACTATGTGAACAATGCAAAGCAACATCCTTTAAAATATATATGTATAGTGTTACTATGAGAGCCAGCTTGATATAGAAATGTAGGCACCAGGCTAGAAACCTGAAAACTGTAAATTCTACTCCAAGGCACAAAGGTAGCTGAGTGAGATTGAGCCAGTCATTTTCTCTCAGCCTTAGGAAGAAGGCAATGGCAAGCCACTTCTTTAAAAAAACTGCAGGGACCTGCCAAGGCAATCTCTGAGAATTGGACATAATCAAACAGAAGAAAAAAAAGTGTTACTAAAAGTAAATTGCATGTTCTGCACTGACACAGAAAAACATTCTTTCAGCCATGAACATGTAATTCAAGTAGAAGGAAAGGGGTGATACACAGAGCGAGCTTTTTATTCCTTTAATGGTCATTTGGAAAGATCAGTTAGGGTCACTGACCCAACACCACCCATGGCGAGAATGGTTGTGAGGCTTTGGGAGATATTTGGAATGCGCAGCTTGGATCTATGGAAGTGTCCTAACAAACCAACAACCAATCAGTTAACCAGTAACTAGATTTGAGACTGATTGGTCTCCCGTTGACTTTGATTCCCAAGTACAAACTACAAGCTCAAAGTGCACATGAGGGTAGGATATCCACTTCTTTAAAATTACATCTGTCCCTAGCATATTTCTTTGGGGTGGGGTTTACTGGCCATGGGTGAGTGCAGCTGAGCTCTCTTCATTCACAAAATTGCTTTTACTGGCTATGTCTTCCATTGCTAAGTTCACTTTCAGCATCATATTCCTGCAGGAGAAAATGTGAAGTGTCAAACTGCGCCAAAGTAAAAATCATATTTGACAAATTTGGCAGGTTTGACAAATACAACATCACTCAGCAAGATATCCTTTTGCATTTAATTTGATGCCAATCCCTGCAATAGCTGTGACATCGCAAGGTCACAATCAAAATAATGCTTCTTCAGCAATTGCTTGTCCTAAGAAGAATGCCAAGAAAAAGTGAATTCATCATAGTCACTGAAGAAATGATATATTGCATACAACTGACATTTCAGGCTGGAATGTTCAGATAGTTCAGATTAAACTCCTAAATTTGTTACTTAGAGCCATGATGGTGAACCTATGGCACGCAGAGCCATATCTGTGGGCATGCAAGCGTTGCCCTAACTCAGCTCCAGCTCTCATGTACGCACCTGCCAGCTGATTTTTGGGCCTTCTGGGCCCACTGGAAGTCAGAAAATGGGCCATTTCTGGCCTCCGGAGGGCCTCTGGGTGGGTGGGGAAGGCCATTTTCACCCTACCAGGCCCAACATCACATGCCAAAAGCAGGGGGAGCATGGGGGGGGGTTCATGCACGCATGCGCAGGGGGTGGGGCACATTGAATTATGGGTGTGGGCATGTGTGCGCGACCCCGCCGCACTCCCCCCACTTTAGGCACACGACAGCAAAAAGGTTAGCCATCACTGTCCTAGAGTCAACCAATCAAAGCAAGTTGACAGATGTTTAGTTTCTACCTAAATTCTGTTGCCACTGAAGAGAGAAAACAGAAAGAAGAGAGCTATCACCAGATAAATCTGTCAAATGTAGCATTCTGTTTTCTTTTTTTCTAGTCAGAATGCCTATGATGGGTTTCCAATTTTAGTGTTTCAAAGGAGTCTGGAGACCTGGCTCTTCTCCCAGACCTTTGGTGGGTATGACTGGAGACTCTTTTTAAATGAGATTGCTTTTGTTTTGTTTTTTCACCTGGTTGGTTATCCTGCCATCTCTACCCTTCTTTGCTTTTTGCTGTTTTTCTTGTAATCATTTGTGCACTGCCCAGAGTCCATTGGAGTCAGGAGGCATGTAAATGTAAATGTAAATGTAAATGCTAATAATAATAATAATAATAATAATAATAATAATAATAATAATAAATAATAATATATTATTATTATTATTAATAATAATAATAATATATAATATATTAATATATTATTATTATTATTATTATTATTATTATTATTATTATTATTATTATCAGCACCTGTCTGGAAAACTTTGGAATCAGCAAAAATATCTGTACATTTTTGAAAGCAAATATGCAAAAATGGAAAACAATTCTAACAGCAAATGGGGAGAACATTGGTGAAGTCAACATCAGACGAAGAATCTTCCAAGGGGACTCACTTTCACCACTACTGTTCAACATCGCATTAATTCCACTGACAATAATCTTACGAAACACAAAAGTGGGATACCAAATCTCAAGCCAACATGGCAAGATAAACCATCTACTATACATGGATGACTTTAAAATGTATGTGAAAAGCCCCACTGAACTTAAATCAATAGGAGGGTCCGCAAAATATTAAAATCAAAGCTGAATTCTGGAAACATAATTAAAACCATTAATGCATGGGCAGTTCCAGTGATACGCTACTCAGCTGGAATCATCAACTAGACTTTGGCTGAACTGGAAAACTTGGACCAGAAAACGCGCAAACTTTTGAATATGTACCACACTTTATATCCACGAAGTGACATCAACAGGTTGTACCTGCCAAGAAAAATAGGAGGCAGAGGGCTATTACAAATCCATCAAATTGTAGAAGAAGTAAAATGAAGTTTGAATGATTATGTGAACTAAAGTACAGAAAAATTACTGCAGGCTGTGAAAATGGTGAACATTATAAAAACAACAGAAACAAAGGAAGAATATAAGGAAAAACAGCTGGATGACAGATTAAATAGATGGAAAACCAAACTTTGCATGGACAACACTTGAAAAACATTGAAGGAAAATGTGATGACAACCTTACATGGACACGGCTTAAGATGGAACAATCAAGAAAGAAACGGAAGGGGTTTCCGGTTGAACTTCCGGCACTTTCGGTGCAACCTCTGCGGGTCTGTTCAAGCTCTCCCTGTCGGAGGCTTCACTAGAAGCCATAGCCATCTTGAAGGGGTGGTAAAGCAAAGGGGGACCGCCTTGCAGGTTGAGGAGAGCTGCATCTCCCATCCCTGACAAGGAAAACCCTCTCATCTGAAGACTAGGAGCAGTGGCAGTCAAAATGGCTGCCATGAAGCCGGGGAACAGCCAGAACCATAAGTTTGTGCAGGAGTAGAGAAATGCTGAATGGTGTGTTGTCTGGGTAAAAAAAGATTTACAGCTAAAGTTGGACCCCACAAAAAATTTAAGGGGAATACCTTTTAGAAGAATTTGCTACAGCGGCGTGCAACTATTGTGGGAAAAAAGCATATTGGAAATTTAAAGAAGTAACTATCTGTTTAAAAAGAAAATTAAGTGGGAAATGGAATCCCCAAAATAAAAGGCTTGATATTAAGAAGGCATATTAAGATGCTGGAACTATAAAGCTACCTTTTCTTCAAATAATGGAGCTATAAGATAAACTAAGCAAGAGAAATAAACTGGGTGTGTCAAAATAAAAGTAGAACAGCAGCAGAGTCACAATAAAAGCAGAGATGAAGCAGAGTGATGTAAAGAGCACCATCTGCTGATGATAGTAAATTTTTGTGACTTGGGAGCAAATATTGAAAAAGAGGGAAACAACTGTTGAACAATATATATTTACTTTCTAACCACTGGAGACTGGAATATTAAAAAAAAAAAGAATTGGTGTCTGGACCCCTAAATACTAATGAATATACAAAAATGACTTGAGGAGTGAAGGATCCCTGAAGTAACTAACTGATTTGATTGGACATTGGAATAGAAGGAAAATTAGAACTGAGAAACCAGCAAACAGAAGATAACAAGGAGGAGACACTATTAAAATTAATAAGAATTGAGGAATTAAAACAGGGGGAAAACACTTTAAAAGATTTAAAAAAGAAATGGGAGGAACAAGAAGAGGCTTAGGGGGAAATGATAGGATTTAGAACAGAAAGCTCTCAAATTAAACAGTGGAGAAAGACAGGGTAAGGAGGAAAAATTAAATTATGGATTCAGAATATAAACCTCAAAGTAGATGGAATGAAAGACTTAAGAGGAAAACAGGGGAGACAAGTTTAAAAAAAGGTAGGATTAAAGGAAGAGATGTAGCGCCATTCACACAATGATATGTATAAATTAAAAAATAAAAATAAAAAACTTGATTAAAAGAAAAGAAAGAAAGAAATGAAAGGTTTAATACTCGCTGCTCAAGAACAAGCACTACAAACTAATGCCATGAAAGTGAAGATACAAAAATCCATTGACAATCCAAACTGCCAACTATGCAACAACAAAGTTGATACTGTTTCACATTTAATATGTGAATGCAGCAAAATTGCACAAACTGATTACAAAGCTAGACACAACCGAGTTGCTAAATTAATTCACTGGTCATTATGTAAAAAATATGACTTACCTGTATCCAAAATGTCATGGGAGCACAACGTGGAAAAAGTTACCGAAAATGAGAAGGTGAAGATTTTGTGGTACTTTCGAATACAGACGGCTCGTCATTTGGAACACAACACGCCAGACATCACAGGTGTCAAGGGCCAAAGCATACAGTTTATTGATATCGCTGTACCAGGAGATGCCAGAGTCGAAGAAAAAGAACCGGAAAAAATCATGAAATATCGCAACTTGGCCATCAACACTATGTGATTATGGATGAAAATGTAACAGTGATACCCATTGTCATTGGAGCACTTGGTACCATGTCCAAGAATTTTACAAAATACATCAATAAATTGCAGCTTTAACACCTGCAATAACACTAGCGGAACTGCAAAAAACTGCGCTACTTGGAACATCGTACATCTTAAGGTACTGGTTGATACCTAGGATGCTGGCAGCAACCCGTATCAACCAGTCAATGATATTTGTGATACATTTTTAAATGTTCAGTTGACTGAGTTTCATGTTTAATGAATAAAAGATAATAATAATAATGATGAAGATGATGATGATGCCAATAATTATGCCAGCTAAAGAACTGGCAATTGGGACTTCAGATTGTTGTTTAAAATCAAAACTGAATGCTAGAAACATAATTAGAGCCATTAATACATGGGCAGTTCCAGTGATACGCTACCCAGCAGGAATCATCAACTGGACTGTGGCTGAACTGGAAAACCTGGACTGGAAAACACGTAAACTTTTTTTTTTTAATTTGATTTATATGCCACCCTTCTCCGAAGACTCAGGGCGGCTTACAATGTGCTCAGCACTTTGATTATGTACCACACTTTACATCCACGAAGTGATACCTACAGGTTGTACCTGCCAAGAAGAATAAGGGGCAGAGGGCTATTGCAAATCCATCAAACTGTAGAAGAAGAAAAATGAAGTTTGAATGATTATGTGAACCAAAGCACAGAAAGATTGGTGCAAGCTGTGAAAACGGAGAACATTATAAAAATAACAGAAACAAAGGCAGAATATAAGGAAAACCAGTTGAATGACAGATTAAATGGATGGAAAACTAAAGCTGTGCATGGACAGCACTTGAAAAACATTGAAGGAAAGTGTGATAACAACTTGACATGGGCATGGCTTAAGAGAGGAACTATCAAGAAAGAAACGGAAGGTTTAATACTTGCTGCTCAAGAACCAGCACTACAAACTAATGACATGAAAGCGAAGATACAAAAATCTACTGACAATCCAAACTGCCGACTTTCCAACGACAAAGTTGAAACTGTTTCACACTTAATATGTGAGTGCAGCAAAATCGTGCAAACTGATTACAAAGCTAGACATGATCGAGTTGCTAAATTAGTCCACTGGTCATTATGTAAAAAATACGACATACCTGTATCCGAAAAGTCACGGGAGCATGAAGTGGAAAAAGTTATCAAAAATGAGACAGTGAAGACGTTGTGGGACTTTTAAATACAGATGGATCGTCATTTGGAACATAACACAACAGATATCATAGTTGTCAAGGGCCAAAGCATGCAGAAATATCACGACCTGGCCATCGAAATTACATGGCTATGGATGAAACATGTAACAGTGATACCCATTGTCATCGGGGCACTTGGTACCATGTCCAAGAATTTTACAAAACACGTTAAGAAATTGCAGCTTCCTGTAATAACACCAGCAGATCTGCAAAAAACTGTGCTACTCAGCACATCATATATTTTAAGAAGATACTTTGTTGATACCTAGGATGCTGGCAGCAACCCATATCAACCATTAGCACCAGTCAATTGTACTTGTGATACATTTTGTGACAAACTCATGGTAAACCGATCCAAACTAGACTGCAGAAAATGCGACTTCAGTAACAGAGTTGTCAACGCCTGGAATACACTACCTGACTCTGTGGTTTCTTCCCCAAATCCCCAAAACTTTAACCTTATACTGTCTACTGTTGACCTCACCCCATTCCTAAGAGGTCTGTAAGGGGCATGTATAAGTGCACCAGCGTGCCTACCGTCCCTATCCTAATGTTTTCTTTTATTTGTATCCTTTTCATGTATTTATAATTATGTTTACACTTGTATCTGTCATAAAATACATGCTTGATGAAATAAATAAACATTTTTAAATGTTCAGCTGACTGAGTTTCATATTTAATGAATAAAAGAGATAATGATGATTATGATGTAAATAATCAGGCCAGCTAAAGAACTGGCAATTGGGACTTCAAATTGTTGTGAACAGATAGTATTCATGGTAGTACTAGTATTAATAATAATAAGGCATATAAATTTAAAAAATAAATTTAAAAAATACTGAAGATTAAGTTTTTCTCAGCCCTGAAACGAATGGCAGCGAGTTTCAGCAGCTGATCTAATTCAATCTCACAAGCTTCCCTCTGCTGAGAGGAGCAAGTGCAACTCTCTCTTTTCCAGAAATTTCTTCCGGCCTCCAGTACAAATTTTGAGAGATTTCAAGTGGTTGCCGAAAGACAGAAGAGTTGAAAATCACATTCTCCCCATCCCATTGACAGAAACCTTTCATTGGAGGAGAGGAGCAAAGGGGCTTCCAGAAGAGATTTACCTTCCCTGGGCAAATCAGACATTTTTATATCCTTTTTTCTCATTTTTACATCTGCTTATTTTTGCAGCCAAGTAAATCTATTAAGGCAGTAAATGCCTTTTGATAGGTACCTAAAAGGCCTTTACCTAGTAAATTTATATAGCATAAGAGAAGAAAATATCCCAACTCCTTCCTTCTTTCCTTCCTTCCTTCTTTCCTTCTTTCTTTCCTTCCTTCCTTCCTTCCTTCCTTCCTTCCTTCCTTCCTTTCCTTTCCTTTCCTTTCCTTTCCTTTCCTTTCCTTTCCTTCCTTCTTTTTTGTGTGATATTTTTTCTTGAACCAAAAGCCCAAATGTTTTAGCCCTATTTTAGTAAGATGACTTTCTGCCCTAGGTTTTTTGTTTTCTACTCTATGAGATCATTTTTGAGATGATATGACCAACACCATTATAACTTGAAACAAACAAACACCTATTTGCAATTAATAAACTTAAGCTTTATATTTCTGCTGTATTGGTTACTGCATGAAGAATATTTGGAATTTGATCTTCAGGGCAAGAGAAGTGGTTACACTCACTTCAGAGGTCCTACAGAAAACACCTTTCCTATCAGCAATTCTCCCTACCAGCAGTCCCCAGAGATGAAAAGCAGGACTGAAAAAAATGTGCAAGCTGTAGCTGGTTTGCATGTTCACTTGTGGGGTTCATGGGGAAGGAATAGCCATAATGTGGTCCAAACAGTTGACCATTACCTTGTCCTTTCCTTATCCAAGACAAAGAAGTTCTCTTTGAGTGTATTGTTGCTTTAATTTTCACTCATTCCCCTTTATGGCCACATGTAACTGAAAAGTGGCAAACAGAGAGTTTGGGGCACCTGTTCTTATCAGGTCTCCAGAGTTTTGTAATGGTAGCAGGGGAGGTAATGTGAGTGCAGGAATAGAATGTGGCAACATCCCAGTCTTATTTTGGGCAGCTTCAAAGCTTAAAAATGACCAAGACACAATTCATACAGTCATCCTGGATCACACAGTGCCAGCAGAGCAGGGAAAGAGAAAATGGGTCAGCACTATTATATGATTATGTCTTGTGGTAAGCGTGTCTAATGATTGAGAGAATGGGGGCACTTGCTAGCGGTTCATATATGCACTTGCCTTGGCTATAAACACAGCTGCCATGCTCATACTAGCCTCACCTTTCCCAGTTTTCCAGAAAGCCCATCATGCATCATGCTTGCTTCTGAAAACAGGAGATATAGTCCAATACATCTGAGTTATAGCAGATTAGGTAAGGCTGCTGTAACCTTTCAGTCGTGAAACATGCTTAGTTCTGGAAAATATAGTTTGTTCAGACAACGCTTTCATTTTTCACCCAATGAATTTTTACTTTAAAGGTAAAAAATGTTTTGCAACTACTTGGATTTTAGTCAAAACTAAAATCCAAGTAGATTTTAAACACGCAAATTAAAACACGTACATGAATAATGGGATTTCACTGTCAGTGGGACTGTTTGAATAGATTGTGAAGCAACAAATAGAGGGACAGATTCTTGACCATCTACTCAGTACAAATGAAATGATGTTTAGGCGACCTCTCCTTTCCCACGCCTCTGATTCATCACTGAGATAGATGGGATGACCTTTTGCAAAGCAAGTAACTGAAATGAAGGAGATAAAATAACAACAAAGCACATGCCAGGCCATTGCCTCAGTCCTTTGTTCCAGTATCAGGCAATAAAAATCTTCTAAAAATTAAGGAAATGGTTTTGCAAATTTCATTAGGGGGTTTTGGCCTCCCAACCAGCAGAATCCAAGGCTCTTTCAAAGCTATTCTTACCCTAAATTAAACGGGCAAAAAGGGCTCCCTTTGAATGTGCATATTTGGATATGTATACAATTAAAAAGCAGGAAATGCTTTTTCAAAAGCCAGTTCTGCCACTGAAATACCCGAGTTATCATATTCTCTGAGGCTGAAAAACAGCCTTATTAGAAATTCACAAGTTTTGGTTATGCAGCTATTCACTAGGGCACCTATTACGCAAAGGAAAAAAATGTGAATGGGTTTTAATTGTTTTTAATGTTTTGATTTTTAATGTTTTTATATATGGTTTTTAAATGCATTGTAAGCCACCTTGAGTCTTCGGAGAAAGGCGGCATACAAGTTGGAGAAATAAATAAATGGGGTGCATAAAACATTATGAGTGCTAAATAACTATGGAAATTTCACTACAATCCACAAATAATTTGAGCTAATTAAATTAAATTTGTTCTCTTACTTCCAGGAGTACTGAATAAAATCAAAATACTTTTAATTAAGTGAATTGTTAATTTTTTCCTATTGTTTACACAGCTACTTATTTTTGTTGTTGTTGTTGTTGTTGTTTTCTTCAAAGCACATTAAACTATGCATAATACAGACCCATCCCAAAGTTTGCCTGGCATATCAGAGGCAGAGGCATGCTCCAAAAATGGAGGAAAATGAAGGCCATTGCTGGAGTATGTGTGTTTGTATGAAGGAATTTCAAGGAGTACAAATAGAAACCTTAAGATTTTATAAAGTGTCAGGCAACCATTTTGCCCCTTAAAATATCCCCCTAATGTGAAAAGGGAAACAAAATGGCTGTTATTGTGTCTATAATATTATTTTATTAGCATAAGACTCAGTGATGTTTGTGTGACATAATGGCATTACAATTTCTCCTGGAAGAAAGGCCCAGTGAATACATTCCTCACATGTGTTGTTTCTCTCTTATGACAATTTCATATACTTAAATTTCTAATTTGTTTATGCGAGGAACATATACAAGGATCCTCAGGTTTTCAGCAAATGTACTCATGCCAAAGCAAATATGTATGTGCAATGTCACATGTGACAATATACAGGCAGCCTTTATTCCTTTTCCTATACGGAAGTTTGTCACAGAGGAAGTGTGTAATGGTTATAAAGGCCCCTCCTTAAAACAAGCGGGAAAAATCACTTTCCCTATTTAATATTTCCAGCTTCCTAAAATATTGAGGTCAGCTCTATGGGTAATCTAGTCTAATCTAATCTAGGGGTATATATGCCAACTATATCCTTAAAAATACATTAATTAGTGTATTATTGTGAAATTCAAACATGCTCCTTACATAAATGGTCATATGGGTCCTTATTTTATAGATTATAATAACAGAAGTCTAGTGTATCTTAGTGTAGAGAAAGTCATAATAATAGATAAAAGAATACTAAGTGTTACTCTGATAGGATTCTTGAAAAAGCTTTGGATTTAATCTTACGAAATACATTGAACCGAGTAAATCACTCAGTTTTACTTCAGACTGCACTCTGGAAGGAAACCATGAAGCTGATATGACATGATAAGGAATGCAATTGTCAGACTAATTAGATATATCACTATAGGTTAAATGATAACAATGATGCATTCTAAGAAAAATTAAAAGAACTCAGAAGAGTTTGAAATTCAAATAAAAAGTATAACTGGTAATAATACATCTATTGATGTCTGGAAATAATTTAATTGTAAACATCACAAAGAGAAATGAAGAGCTATAATTGCCAGCAGGATGTTATTCTAACTTTTAGAATTTTTGATTCTAATGCAAAATCTATTTGGCTTGTGATTATAGAAGAGTAATGTGAAATTTTTGTTCTTTAGTTATATTTTCTAAAGCTTACAGAGGCTGCTGCTTTTCTTAAACTGGGCATTTAAAGAAACGGAGAGAGAGTTAGAAAAAGACAAACCAATTTAGAAAAATAAAAATCAAAAGAAGTAAAAAAGTTTTAAGAAAAGTCATTATTTCAGAAGATACTTTAAACCTCCTTTTTACAGATTGCTTGATATAATAAGGGTTATAAAAATACAGACTGTTTACTACTAAAGGAAAAAAAAAGACATGACACTGCATACAAGGAAAACATGCACAGCAATATATGTAGAAGAGATTTAGTCTTAGGTTAATAGTAAATTGCAAGAAAGGGAAATAGCTCAACTGCCGAACCTATGTGGAACTAATGAATGGAAAGATACACAATCTTTCCTAAAATCAAATCCTTGCTGAAACGCTCTTTCTTGCCTAGAAACGTGCTTTCTCCCCGATCCTCACCTGTCCAACTGTGCAGGACCAAAGTCATCTTCCAGTTTCCAAAGGTCAAAGATGGACATCTCCAAGTCTCTGTTGCTGGCAAGGAGGCAGATGGAAGAATTCCAGGTGATTGCCAGGGATCTTCAAAGGGAAAGGAAGGGTCACCTGACTGCTGGCTGTAAGAAGGCCTGGATGGCAAAGTGGAGGGACATGTAGAGAGAGTGCTGTGAGAGTCCACCTGATGATGAAACACAAGATGCTGAGGTCTGGTTCTAGAGTCTGGAAAGGATGTAACCCACTGGCATTATCCAAGAATTTACCCTCATCGTCAGCCACATGGCTGCTGCTGGCTGCCATGCTTGAGGGCCATGATTCGCGGCTGCTTCCTCTCTTCGCCACTGGTTCCCTCAGCCAAAGCTTGCAAATAATTATTATTGTCACTGGCGGTGGTGTTGGGGACGTCAAATCAATTAGGCTCCAGCTTTTCCTGCCACCTTGTTCCCTCTGAATCCCCCCTGTGGCCACTTCTCTTTTTTGACAGGCTCTCTTTGGCCACTGGAAGGAGCTGCTTTGAAGACGGAGCCTGGGCCAAGCCCCCTCCCCCTTCCCGCCCCCTCCTGCTCCCCTCCCCGCCCCTGCATGAGAGAGATTTCCTGCCCTCTTTGGACAGGGGATGTTCTGCAGCTTGTAGATAAGCAGCACAGGAGCTGCCTGCACAGGACTGATAAGGAAACTCCCGAGTCGGACCCAGCCTAAGCCAGAGGACTTGGAAGGCAAACAAGAGGAAGCCCAGCGTCTACATGCTAGAATAACATAGGCCAGTGAGCACTAAAGTCTCCACAGCACACACAGGAGGGAGGTAGCTTAGTAAACCTCAGAGTGCTTTCATAGGCAACCAGAAGTATGCCTTGGATGTGAGGGTAGCCAAAAAGCAGAGAAGAAACCAGGTTTTGTCCCTCCATCCTGCTGGCTTGGGGTTCCTTCCTGATACTGTGCCTATCTGTCTCCAGCTGGGCATCCCGCATACTTGGCTGAAAGCCAACACTTCCTTCAACCTTACTTAATGTGGATATCAGCCCATGAGCCATTGGCAGCAAGATCAATGGCCAATTAAAGACCTTAGGACTTCCTGTAAAGAAAGTATGTTTACATGGACCAATGTGAATTTATTACCCTAATAGGCACTCATCAAACCTGAGGCCATTTTGATGTCATTCTTTTTTAGCCATGTCATTTATAGCATGTCTAAAGGAAACTGGCAGAACTGCACATCTTAGGAAAATTAATACCTTCGTAGAAAGCTCTTCCGTTTGGAATTGATCCCTTGTGAGTGACACAAGGCAAAATAGACCATAATACAATGCAGCTGGTCAAGAGTCCTGTTTGCATGGAACATAATCGTAACATGACTGCCACGCTGTGAATGGTGGGGTAAAGTATATTCTTTCAGCTGAGCCACAATTACATGGAAGCATTATTTGTATACCTTTACACGATTGGTGAACATGATTCAGACAATCTAGATTGTCAATCTCTATGAAGATTAAGAAAACAGTCTCTGCTATGGATGCCCACCCTTATGTTGTTTAAGAAACCATTGAAAACCTGATTGTTTCCCCAAGCCCTGGAGACTGGGTGACTGTAGACTTCTCTTCCCCTACTTTTGTTTTTTAATTGTTTTGTTTCATTGTGGTTCTGGTACTTTTTATATTTTGTTCTTCTATTCAGCTGTGTTATTTATATGGATGGGGATTTTAATTATAAACCATCCAAAATTGCTTAAGGTATGGGTGTTTCTGAAATTTGATAAATAAATGAAAAAAAATCCCCTGTCTTCACTGGAATATGTAGTATTCCTGAGCAGAGCTGTTTTAACAACAATCCATGAAAATATATTATCAAAATAAATAAATCAATCAAAACCTAAAGTCTGTGAGCAAGGTTGTAGGTTATAGGTTAGGGATGACCCCAAGTTTTAAACAAAAAATCCACAAAAAGGGAAGCAGCCATCATACACATATGGACTCACTTTTTGGCTTAATAGTCAAGACTAGTTTTCAGAAGCAACTATGAAATGTTCACTGCACGATCTGCTTATGACAACCTATTATGGCGAGCTACCCTTGCTAGCTTCCGTGGAGTGACTTTGGCACGGCAAACTATTTGGAGAACATTTCCTGGAACTCCTGGATGCTAATAATGTCAAGAGGACTGTATGTGTTTGTTTGTGTATCTGTGTGCATGAAGAGGGTACACCCTTTAGCAATGGGTGCATGCTCAAACTATCTACAGGCAACTTGGTATTAGGAGTAACCCCCTTTGTTTTTTCATTATCTTTAACAGAAGTAAAATTTCTCCTCTGAAAAATTTGCTTTTTGGATAATGTATCTTCAGTGTGCCAATACAATGGGCTTTTATAGTTGCTTTCTGTTCCACTACTCATTGCAGGCAAAGTAGCATTCAGTAGCTATCCATGCTGCTGTACAATTTCTTCCAATGTTTTCCCAGTTCTAAGTAAAACGATATACCACCATGTATGCAATCAACGTGGAGTTACAACTATGAATTTTCTTTCTTTTTAAAAAATAAGTTATTTCTCCCCCCCCCACTCATTTTTTTTTCTTCTTTAATAGATCTAGTTTCAACTAACACATGAGAAAACACAATCATATTTAAAGATTCAAATAATGCAATGGACAAAAATATAATTGCCTGTGCTGAATTGCTGGATTTCAAATTTGAAAATATATTCAACCAAATTTAGGGATATACAAAACTGGAAGTAAGGATTATAGCTTTAGCCTAGAAGAGTTTGTTTAGCAATTATGGTGATGATCTGAAATAACCCTTCGTGCTGTCACAGAACCAGCCTTACCGCAAATAGCTTGATGGAATGTTATATAAGACCCCAGGTGAGTCTTATAGCTAAGACTCACCTGAGGGATCAGTATACAATGCTGGTGCAATGCTAAGCATACTTCAGGAATCAGGCGTTACTGACAGCATAACTTGTGCAGGTTGTACACAGCAAGACTGAGCCAGGTTAATAGTGTTTGATATTACCCTGACTCCAAAGGCTTGTGGAAGTTTTTGGAGCTATTCAAAAAGTACAGAATAAGATAATCAGATCAAGATCTCGGGTATGGGATTACAATAACTTTCAATCTCTCTTAATGATGAAACATTATTTGCATTTCTCTTCTTTAGTCTATCTTAACCCCCTAATGAGTACCAGTTAGTTACTTAGATCACCTTCTAGAAATAATCAGGCAATGGGCACAAATCCGTCTTCAACTGAAGATGTGAAGCCAGGCCTGGCTCAGAAACCAGTCAATAATCTTCTCATTTTTAGTTAGACTCTTGTGCTTTTATTTTGAAGGTGACCTGATTTCCTTAAGATATGAGAATGATTTATGGGTGCTTGGAAATAAAAGAAAAATGTTCGCAACATAGCTAAAAGAAAAGAAAGCTAGCAAAACACCACATGGATACTCTCTGATGTACTGGAGAACATAAACCACAATGAATTCCTGTAAGCAAAAATAAGAGAAAAACAAAATAACCAAACTGCATGGAAAGAGAGATTGGCATAGATGTGGGAGAGAACTATTACACTCATCCAATACTATCACCATCTAGTGGCTGTGTTATCATATTTCCCCGAAAATAAGACCCTGTCTTATATTTTTTTGAACCCTGAAATAAGCGCTTGGCCTTATTGCCATGTGCTGAAAAGCCCGATTAGGCTTATTATTAAGGAATGCCTTATTTTGGGGAAAATGATATCAACAGAATGGGGCAATATGGAGGACATCTTTTGATCAAAAGGCTACCTTTCTTTGCATTAATGGGTGAGCAGTTGCAAAGCTGATCCCAAATCACTCGAGAAGTTGATATTGTGGAATAATTAAAATCTGGAATCAGTGGGGAAGATGTTTTATTGGAATGTGTTACTCCATCACTGGGGGCTTTGAAAAAGAGACCGGACAGCTATTTGTCTCAAGTGGTATAGGGTCTCCTGCTTGAGCAGGAGATTGGACTAGAAGACCTCCAAGGTCCCTTCCAGCTCTGTTATTCTGAATATTCTGGAATGCTTGGCTTAAACAAGGGATTAATATTTTAAATCATTTTATTTTTAGCGGTTGTTTTAAATATTTTGAAACATTGTTGTTTAAATTAAACTTGTTTTTAATATGCACTTGACAATTTAAGCAACTGAAGATTGTATTAATTAAGCAATTTGACATATGTCTGAAGTAAATAGAATTTCAGCTTCTTTAAGAGATACTTTACTCGAAATAAACTTTCAATTTTATAAGTTATTAAAAAGCAAAATAAAAGTTAGTTATATATTTGTAGAAGGAAGAGTTGTATTATCCAATCTGGATAATCAATGGTTATCCAATCATTATCCAGGCATTATAAGTATGAAATAGCCCTGCGACAAGGGCCTGATAGGCTTCGGAGGTCATTCTCTTTTGATCATGCTGTAACTCTTCAACATATGTGAGAGCCCTATTAGACCCCTTGCAGTGTGCTTACCGAGCAAATAGATTGGCAGATGATGCTGTCAATATGGCACTGCACTACATCTTTCAACACCTTGAATCTTCAGGGAAGGAACATGCACAGGTCCTTTACAAAGCTCAGCATTCAATACCATCCTTCCAGAAATTCTTCTCCCTAAACTTATTCAGTTAGCAGTGCCTATCCATACTTGCAGATGGATTATTAGCTTTTGACAAATAGGAAGGAACAGATGAAGCTAGGGAAAATCACACTGAGCACCCGGTTAATTAGCACAAGTGCCCCTCGGAGTTGTGTGCTCTTTTCATTGCTCTTCTCTCTATATACCAATGACTGCATCTCTAAGGATCCCTCTGTTAAGTACTGAAGTTTGAAGATAATACAACAGTTATTGGTCTTATTTGAAACAATGATGAGTTTGCATGTAGATGGGAGGTTGAACAACTGGCCCTGCGGTTCAGCCGGAATAATCTGTAGCTCAACATGCTTAAAACTGTAGTGATGAGAGGATTTTAGGAGGAGCCTTTCTATTCTACCACCTCTTACTATATTTGACAGCACAGTATAGCAGTAGAATCCTTCAAGTTTTGGGGTTCTATAATCTCCCAGGATTTGAAATGGACACCTAACATTCAAAAGGCACAACAAACAATGTTCTTCCTGCATCAACTCAAAAACTTCAGACTGGGCCAGGAGCTGAGGGGTCCTTGGTGCTCTCTGAGCTTGCTTGTTTTCTTGCAGACTTTTCCTTACCCAAATTAGGTAACATCATTAATGCTACTCACTAGCACTGATGATGTTACCTAGTTTGGGTAATGAAATGTCAACCCTGAACTACAAATATTCTCCTTTAAGCATAAAATGCTTCAGACTGCCCCCGGAGCTGTTGATACAGTTCTACAGAGGAATTATTATCTGTCATTTGTACTTCTATAACTGCCTGGTTTGGTACAGCAACCAAACAGGACTGGTACAGACTCCAACGGATAGTTAGAACTGCAGAAAAAAACAATTGCAAGCACCC